CCAAAATTTCTCATCTTTTCTACATTACAGTTGAGTTATAGTTCTAGTTCCATTAAAGACATCAACTCTGCAGGTACTGACCCATGAAAGTTATTACAGATCTCAATTTTGTAGCCAATAAACCAATTTGTGATTCAATCACAAGCACCTGGAGAAGATCTGGTCTGCTTCAACCATCTCCAGTTGTCTAAAACAGAATCAGAATTTACAAATAAGAAAATTAAATCCAGATTGTGACCCTTTGCACTTTGAGTTAATCCAAGAACAATTCCACAGATCCACTCTATTGAAGAGAGTTACAGTCTCAGTCTTTGGAGAATTTCTTCAGTGCACATTCACAATATGCAGATACACTTGACTTTGCAACCTTAAAGTATCCATCAGCTTAAGATGGAAAGTAGAGAATTTCTCTGCATTCGTTTTTAAAACTTCAGCAATTCTCCTCTTTTAGCAGAAGTGACTGCACAGACAGAAATCACTACCATCCTCCACACAACCAAACAATCACAGCCTTTAGATTGAGTGTCATTGCGTGAATATAATATTGGTTATTCTTTATACTTTTGGGGCACGTTGTGTTAAGTAATATATTTTTCACTCATAAAATTATTTCTCACAGACCCTATGATTAGTAAGGCAGCAAGCTTTGTACAAAGAGAAACTATTTTCAATGTTGAAAAACCCAACATAAATTGACTCCACTCCTAAATTCAAGCAAACATCAGTAGCATAATCCTTTTCTCAGAGTAAGCTCTACTCGGAAACTAAATGGCCAAAGTGCTCCCAAGGGCAACAATTAATATTTTAGCCAGTGGATTCATTTGGGGGGACTCTTGTAAATTTAATGAATTCTCCAGTAGTCAATCCATCATAGTCACTAATATGCTGGCAATCTTGCTACTGATAATGTTTCCAATACATTATAAGCTCTCATTTATTGCCTTAAATTTTAATTCAATGAATTCTGCATGTGAGCTCTTCTCAGATGGTGATACTTTGTGCTAATGCAATCATAGATGGGCCATTTGGGAGCATAACAAGACTGAACTTGGTACACTTGGCACAATGTCACTGTGAAGGCAGGACATTTCTCACCCAAGCTTCAGTTCTTTATCTCTTACCTCCCTAATATTTGTGCCTCTAAACTAACATATAATTGGATCTACCCCTTCTGGGCTTCATTTTATGGATTACAGGAAAGCACAGGGGAGAGGTCAGAGTGAAAACTCAGGCTCCGTATGTATTCAGCCAGCTTTTGGACATGAATATGGAAGTGCTGAAATCAGCAGTGACATACAGAACTACAGGCAATAGTGCTTGAAAGACTCAAGAATTCTAACCTATCCCCTTGCCCTAAGGCAAAAATCAACTTGTAACTATATCAGTCCTGACAGATTTTTGTCTAGCTCATTAAAAAAAACCACACCAACAGTAAGAGATTATGCATCTTCCCCAGGCAATATGTCCAGTGCTTAATTATCCTGAATGTTAAAAGTTTTTCCCAGTGTCAAACCTTGGTGTCCCCTGATACGATTTAAGTCCATTATTTTCCATCTTATACACTACAGATAAAAAGAATTTTTTCCATTCCTTTTTAAGGGAGCTTTCTGTGTACTTGCCGTTCCTCTTGGTTTTTCTCTGGACCAAGCAAGCACAGCTCTTTCAGCCTTCCCTCACAGGCCACTGGTCATTCTTGTTGTTTCCAATTACAGCTGCACCCATCTTCCTTGGGACAGTACCCTGAGCTATACACTGTCACTTCTGTGGAAGTTTCCCTAGGACCTAGTAGATAGGAAGCACTACCTTACACATATTTCAGTCTCTCCCTGCTTACAATTATCTGCAAGTATAATACACATGCTTCCTCTTGTATCAATTAGCTGTTAATGAAAAGATTAAGTGTGCCCAGAGTCATAACAGATCCTTACAGTGCCTCAGTACTGCTTACCACCATTTGGTCAGTGACCTGTGGGGAACTGTGCACTGAGAACACAAAACCATGAGAAATTTCATATCCAGAGCATGTTTCTCCAGCTTATCTGCAGGAATGTCAGAGCATCCTAATGTCAGGGCTCATGACATCTATTGATTCTCCCCTATCAAAACTGCCTGTTACATGGTCATAGAAAAAAATAGATTAGTCTGATATAATTTGTTCTTGACAAGTCCATGCTGGCTGATACTCATTTCCTTGTTAACTTCCAAGCACTTACATAATGTTTATGTGATTATTTGTTACAACATTTTTCTCTTGGATTTCAAAAGGAAAACAGTCAAGCAACATGCAGGTAATCAGTAGTAAGGACATTATGTCCAGAAAAACAAATTATGAGTAAGGGAATAAAACATAACTCAGTGGCATATGTCTATAAGCAACCAAAATTCTCATAGGTCAAAGTGCAGTTGAATGGAAAAAAAATACAGAATAAAGGCTTTAAAGTGAGACTAAATAAATCCTTTTATGTTCCTTACTCATCTTTAATCATTGTTAAGGTAAACCCATCAGAACACTTAGTAATGATAGCATTAAGCCATAGCAGTATGATCAGACTCCTTCAAATCCCTGAACGACTTCACCTTAACAGGATAATTTAACCATTATAAAGCTACAAGACATGCAGTTCAAGAAGCTCTAAAGAGAAGTAAGTATTTACATGAGTCAGAATAGAGGTTGTATTTCCACTAATTAGACAATGCATTTCTGTGTAGGCTGGAAACGACTTATGGTACAGATTTCTTACCATCAGTGCTTAGGAAGAAATTTCCTTACAGGTGTAGTCAGGAAGAGCATCAGCTCTTGCTGGTAACAGGAAAACTCAAATCAGAAAGGAATTCAAATGTTTATGGGGACATAGTATTTAGACTATGTCAAAAATAATACACTTAGCAGTGCCAGAGCACAGAGCTGTGCCGTGGTGAATGAACAGCCATGCCATTTAACAGCTTGCACCTCACCAGCTGGCTTTAGTTGCACCCAGCAGCCCTGTCCTACATGTGCAGGCTTGGGCTGGGGGCAGTATGGGCTGGGGGCAGCTCCCAGAAAGCAGACCACATAAGACTGTCCCTGTATAGAAGAAAAAGAATCTGAAGATGTTGAAATGATCACGACTCTGCCACTGGGCTGGAAGATGGAGTAAATACAGCCTGTTGTATTTACTGTTAGATATGTAGCCTTGGAGATCAGCCTGGAAACAGAAAAGGTTTCCCAAAGTGGTATAAAGCACCTCACTGAGAATTTGGGACAAGCTCAGAGCATGTCTCTACCCAGTCCCTCAGTGCCATCTCAATGCTGTACTTTTGGTTTAGCCTGGAAGTAGCTTGCTCTCTGCTCACCACATCAAAAGGCCAGGCTGGGCATCCAATGGTTCATACGGAAAGGGCAGGGAAAAGGACCCAAATCCTTACAAGCCTTGCCCATGGATCCTAGTGCCTGCCTGGGTAGAGTAGTATACCTCCCTTTTTTTCCCCATTCAAGAACTGCATATTGCTCTTCAGCTTATGGGAGATCCCAGTATGCAGTCTAGGAGAGATTGGTATAAACCCATTTTCCCTATGAGAGCATATCTCAAGTGATCTTTCTTCCCAAAAGGATAGGGCCCCTCCAAATCCCAGATTTCATGGTAGAAAGTCATGAATGTAGCTGGAAGAGCAAACATTGCATGTCTTCACGTGAACTTGAGAAATAAAGCAGAAGGTGAAACTAAAATGTTCATGCTTCCGGATCCCACTGTCTCCAGTCTTCACCTCTTTTTGGATCTGAAACCTCCATAACTCCTCTTCATTCCACCCAGTAGAACCAATTTACTTAATCATTGATTTGAACCTCCCTCCACTATTTCCTTTCACTTTTGTATCCCTTGATTACATTTTACCTTCTTACCAACATTTAAGGATTCTGTTTTCAAAACTGTACAAGTGTTCTGAATTTTCACAGGTGGACTCAGATTATATTTCCCCCAGATAAAAAGCTGCATCATCCTTTTTAATTTTTAAAACTGTTTGGATTCAAGACTGCACTGAGTCACACACTTCATGCAAAAGACAGAAGCTTTGCAAAACTTCTGAGTTTTACATTCATCCATTTTGACCACGCAGTCAGCACTTTCATGCCTAGAAAATAATTTTTAAAGAAAACATTTTCAGTTTATTTTTATCTGAAAAACTACTATGTATTAAGCACCAGTATGAGTAAAGTTGAGTGACAGACAAGTTGATCAAAGGCAAAAATTAAGTTTTATGTCTCAGCAAACACTGGTGGAGTCTATAAAACCTGAAAGAAGATTCTTCAGAGTGCAAGGAGAGTGTATTTCAAAAAATATTTTGGTTTTTTTTTTTTAATAATCCAACATTTCATCAATAATATTGTTAAGAAAAGCATATGGCACACAACAGATGGACTAACATTTGCATTTCAGTAAAGGAATAGAGCTTTAAAAGTTATGGACATTAAAACCAGCAGCAGAATTTGCAAAGCCAGAACAGAACTGCAGCATGCCTTTCTTCATTGCTTATGCATGACTCCAGCTTTAGCAGGCTTAATAAATCATTCTGAGCCTTGTATTCATACTGAAATTTTAAAAAGATCTGTCAAATAGATAGTTCTTTAATTCTGTATTTAAAATTAATTGTGCTTTAACCAACCAAAATGTATCCTTTAAATACACACTTAAACATGGAACTATCAGAGTAGGAACTGCAATTTTTAATTTTAAATATGCCCCACTATGATATCTGTCCATTCCTGTTTCACAGTAAAAAAGACAGTACTACCCATAAGTGTACTTTGCATTTTCTGATTCAGTTTGATTTCACTGTTCATGGATAATTCATTAGATGTGATGCAAGAGCTTCATATGTTTTTTCTTAATACCTTCCCTGTAGAAAGCTATTCCACAGCAGCTGTGTTAGCACAGAATACATTCCTGTGATGTGCTCTTTTTTCCATGGTCCAGGATAAGAAATTAACTTCTGACTCTAAACTTGGTTTCTGTTCTCAAAAGGGTGAAGTACAATGAGCCAAACTGAAGCCGATTTGCTCAAGTGGTTTGGGATTTCAGTAAGTATTGCTTTAAGCATGGATATAGAGCTTATAATACAGTTCCTGTTACATTATTCAGGCTTGAATCTACTATAGAAATTGAATTTGTAACTTGTAAACAAAAGATTAAAAAATTCTTTACTAAGTCAGATTTCCCAAGTGCTTGGATTGGACGCTCCTTGGCAACAGCAAGAGCTTTGCCTTCTGAGTTACTCTCCCTTAGGCAAAAAGAGATGAGTTGCATGCTTTTACAGTGTGGAGATATATTCATTTGATGTCAAGTTCTAGCTGGAACCTATCAGATTTAACAACAGAAGCAACTTTGAATTCCAGGAGTAAGTCCTTACTTAGTGCAAGCAAGGAGGAAGGGAGGTGCAGATCTCAATGTTACAGATTGGCAACAACAAGGAGAATCTGTCATCTTACTAATACATTTAATAAGCATATTTTTCAAGTCAGTTATTCTTAGATTAATTTCCTTTGGATGCACCACATTTAAAGGTGTTAGCCCTCAGAGCTAAGAGGTTGTAAGAAGTTGTAAATTATGGAACAGATCTCCCTTCAACAGAGGACAAACTGGAGAATTTATCACAGAGCTAGAGCACAATGAAGCCTGTCTTTCAAAGATAAGCTGAAAAGACCTTTCCATTGGGAACTAACCACTTAGTGAAATAATGATATACCAAGTTTTAAAACCTGTTTTATCTGGGACTTCACAAAGTGGCTGTACGGGGTGTAACTAAAGGTCCAGTAAAAACTCTAAGAATAAAGGTCACATGTACAGTTGCCCTTCCTCAGTGTACTCCCAGCCTCTGCTGGATGCATTGGCCCAACAACACATCCTCACAACATGCTGATGATTCCTGCAGTGCTAAAGTAATAATTTCAGCCAGCTGCACCCCAGACACCCTTGCTCCATCCTTTTATCCTGTGGGAAAGCACACATGGGATTCTCTCGGATCCTGCTGACTTCCTTTATTTTCCAAGGGCCTGTGGTGGAAATACAGCTCTTCTTCCAAAAGAGAGATGGCAAAAGCAAAGGATGATTTACAACATACACTTTAGTTACAATTTTGGAAAAGAAATCATATCAGGCCAACTAGATTATAGCACTGGAAATACTTTCAGGCTGACCTAATGGTCAAGTTACCCCAGATCAACTAAGAAGGATTATAAGTTTAAATTAAGTTCTTTTAAATGATAGTTATTGCCCTCAGCAATCTACACAAACCATTACTCAGTCATTATTTCCAGTGCCACTAAGGTGAACTTTGGAGCTTGAGACCACCATATGGATGCTGGATGAACCCAAAGATATGTTGGAAGCCTCTTAGTAGCATCCTTTTTGGCTGTCTTGGCTGATCAAGGATGGCACCCCGTCCATCTCTCAGGTGCCAAAGGCATGGGCACACAGTTAATGTTATTTTTCTAACTCGCTGATTCTTTTCTTAAGCCCCTTCACTGGCATTGGCAATGATGAACATGCCAAAAGGACAATTGCTTCTCCACAAGCTCAACTGAACATGCTCTCTTGAAAGCAAGAGGAGCTCATTTATATGGATCAGCCAAGCAAATGAAGACCTGGAGTTACTGACAGCGTGCTGGTTTTAGAATAGCTGCTGGCAACATGAAGGCTCAGTGATCAAGCACCTCTATCCCATGTTCCCATAATGCCCCAACTTACTGTGAAGTTGTGAAAGACTGTGAAATGTTGCAAGACTAACCAAAGGGGAAAACAGATCACTAGGCCTTTAAAATGTCTTCATTTTTCTCTGTTATTCAGCACTAGTTATACAAATAGGCAGAATATATAGTTTTGCCAGTTTCTTTTAGCCCCCTGAGAGTCTCTTCCTATAAAAAGACATTTATTTTTCCCTTAGATACCTCAGAGTTCAGAAACAATACAAGTTATTCATCATTGTCAAGTTTTGAGCTTCTTCCTCTTTACAATAGATTTTCAAACAATAAATATTCATTTATTGACCTAGAAAATCTGACTTTTTGCAGGCTTTCTCACACATGGCAACAAAATCAAATACTGCATTTTCATCTGCGTATTCTCCACCCTCAAATATCCATCCTCTAAAAATACTACAGGTAACAATAGTAATAATAAAAAAGTAGTCTGAAAAATAATTCAGATCCTTGTGTAACCTTCAACAAATCAAGGCAGAAGGGTTACTGTGGGAAAGGCATTAGACCATGAGGGGCCAAAACCAGGGTGGATGGGATAAACCTCCCTTGGGCAAATTGCCCCACATGGTTACTGAGTCACAAGGGTTTCATTCTTAACTCATAAATTATATCTGAAAAAACAAAAAGCTTCATAGAGAATGTAGTTGTCAGGTAAGCAGAGAAGCAGAAACCAAACACTAATAAGTCCTTTTCAAACCAAACCAAATCAAGCAGCATAATTCCCTTAACTCTCCTTCAGTTCCCTCAGTACATGGAAACAAACAGCCAAGACCTACAGAAACATCCACTAACCCTCCACTCCAGTGGCCCATCATTGTGCCTTCACTCAAAGCAGCGACTTCTTCCCTGGGCTTTGACTGTCCCCATAAGGTCAAGCCATGACCTCAACACAGTCATGGAAAGCTGGAGAGCAGCAACATTGCAACATGACTGGAGCAGGAACTGACGGCCCCAAGGGCTGAAAAGGGGCTCTGGGCCATGGGTAGAGTGGTCCCAGGAAAGGCTTATCAGGGCCATTAAGATTTGTGGGTGCCTTCAGGGCTATGATACTCTTCCAAATACCTTTATCCAATAAAACATAGATCTTACCACTGCCAGGACATCTGGTGTCAAATTCAGAGCCTACACTTTGGTGTAGTCTTCCTACTGCCTTTCAAGACGAGATTGTCTAAGGGGTCTCAGGTCTTTAGCCCCATCCACACAGCTCTCTCTAGCATTAGATGCCCTCAGCCATGTGATGGGGAGCAGCTGAAGATCCTTCTTCCCCATCCAAACCTACCTGTGGCTGCATTTACTCCTAGTCTTTCTTTGCCTACTCTGGAGAATGGAGCCAGCACACACATTCCCCTTCACTCCTCCCCTGTCACCCAAGATAGGGTATGATGTGGCACACCAGCCACAGGCACTTGTCAGTGTACAACAGTGCTGACCCATGTAATAACCTGTCTGCAGACTGACCCTCTCAGCTTCATCACCACAGCATTTGGCATACTCTTTTTTCATAGCTTCCCACAAACCCAAGCAGGGGAACAGCAGTGACAGTACCATTTGCTATCTCATGGTACCAGGGGGTTTCCTGCAAATACAGTTTATTTAAATGCCATCTGCTCTCCCACACAGTCAGGAATGTTTTTCTTGAGTAAGGAGTTATCCTGGATCTAGTTTATGTAACCCTCTGAGGCACGCTAAGCCCAATGCCTAATTGTTTTTGAGATTAAGATATATTGTTTAGACAATCACGGTCTAAAATTGTATGTTCTGAAATGTAGCTGTGGTTAATTATTAAAAAAAATAAAAAGTAGCAAGAAAAAAAAATTCTGCTATTTTCTTCTACCTTCGCCTCTGACTGAACTCCCCCAGTTTGTTTGTGCTAGCTCTCTTGTTTATAGGCAATGTGAATCTCACAATGGGTTGTCCCAAGATGCATTAATGATTTCAAAGCATTCTGTTCCTCTGTGTATTCCTCACCCTTGCTAGAAGAGTGTTATTAATCACCTAACAGTCCCATATGTCTCCAAGCTGAAGAGCCCCATCACTCCCTCCAGCAGCATCTCCCTAAAGCCTCACGGGTGAGCCTGCCCATCCTCCCTGTGCCTTCCTCTGCTGACCCCAGAGTATGTACACATTGTGCTGACTTTTCAAAAGAAACGACTGCAGGTGCCTAACTCTTTGTTTATTCTGGCAAGGCTGAAAATAGCAACCACTAACAAATATTTTGCCCTTCACAAGGCTTCTCACAGAGATGCAGCTGTTGTCTCATCCAGTAAAAGTGCCAACCCTAAGGGTAAAACAGACACTTAATTAGGTTAGGATGAGCTTCAAAAAGGTGACTATCTAAAATTAGTACCCATAATTCTGTGTGGGCTCAGATCCTTACACTAAATCCTCATTTGTGTGGTAGGGAAAAATTATTTGAAGGTTTTTTTGTTTCTCATTGATTGATGGCTCTGTTTAATCATCAAAAGCAGCATTTAAGAGGAAAAAGTATGGCTTTGTTGAGGTGGACAGACCCCCAGGACATAATGTTAAGCTTCTGGGGAAAATATCACCCTCTGAATTCCTGAATTTACAAACCTGCCAAGGCAAGGTGCATACACAGAGAGTCTGCTGCAGATTTTACAGTGACACCAATGTGTTATGCAGAACTTTGGAATTTTTGTCTGCATCCTGTGAAAATCCACACAACAAATGGTGGATCCTGAGACAGCTTTTCCCCAGTAAACTTTAGCACCCTAACACAAGGAGCTTCCTGTAATTAGGGACACAGTAGTTAGTGCCAAATTTTCAAGGAACAAATTCAGGTCAGATTCAGTTATTAATACACATCCCAAAATATGGCTATTTGGACAAATAGCCTCCAAAGTGAGATAAGCAATTTTATATTCTGAGCCTCTACCATCCATACTAAAAGGAAAAGTTGTTCAAGCACATTGCAATTTTTAATGAAATAACAATTAAAATACTAATATAGAACACAATTTGTTTTGGAAACAGAGCCACATATGAGAGCCTCACTAAGGAATTTCTATCTCACTATTCTGCTGCAATAGTGTCTACAGGAAAAGTTGCAACAGAGACTAAGCAAAAGGTCATATCAGAATGTTTATAATGCTATCACAAAGCTCCAGGTACAATCCATTAATCTGTTTTTGCAACACTCCATCATCCTTTTTTATATATATTCAAGAAGAGAGACATAAATCATGGGCCTCCTGAATTCTTTTCTTACATTACGCCTGCTCTGAAAGCAGTCTTGAAAGCTTGCCTCAAAAGTTTAGAAGGACAACTAGGACAGCCTGTCAAGACTATGTTTCCCTGTTCAC